ATAGATGATGTGACAAGATTTATTGGATCAAAATCTCATAAATCAAATAACTTCCCCACTTAGATTTTTACACCTCATCATTATGCAATCAAAAAGTATTTTCCTTTCAAAAAAGTACCTGTAGTGTTGTGTGGGGAGAGAGAGAGCGCGCTGAAGATTGCATGTTTTGCTTAAGGCTTTTAAGGTGCAGTAGAAACAGTTTCTATTCTTGCAAAAGGTCTGATCAGAACATGTTATATATTTATGCACTGTCAATACATGAAAACACGATTATAATAGTAAAGAAAATGACAGAGGACATAAACGTCCTGTGATGGCAAGGGGCGGTTCGACCATTTTCTTCTCCCATACCGTCGGATATTTTTGTTACCTTGCCCTATTCTCATACTCAGTTACAATGGAATGGTATGGGAAGGGGTAGGTCCCTTGCCTTTTATTAAAAAAATTTATTTTATTTTTTGGTTTTTTATTTTTATATCTTAAAATATTATTTTCTTTCACCAACTTGTTAAGAAGAACTTATGTTCTCTTTGAAATTCGACGATAAATCTTTTCATTTTTTTTTTGATAAAAAATAAATTAACTTTAAAAAGGACAGATAGCAAGGCAGGACCATGTTTTCCGTACACGTTGGGGGCAACGACTCCTATCCCCACCCATTTACCCAATTAAGCGAGTAATCCCTGCCCATTCAAGGCGGGGCCTAAGAGTTTTTTTATCATCCCTATAAATATTGGAGAAACACATTATCTTTCTTGTTAATCATTAACATCCTTCTAGAGTTTTGGCAATGATGACCATGAGTACAGGTAAGGTAGGTGATAACCTAAGTCATGGCTTTTATGAAGGTCACGAAAATCATTACATATATAGATAAAATTACAAATAAAATAAAGTTCAAATACAATTAATCAACTCGATTCAGGTGTCTAACTAGCAAATATACTAATTTTCAATTAAAATATAAACGTTAGGTTAGTTCAGTTTTTATTTGTAGAAGTATTAAATGCTTAATTATATAGATATCTTAGAAAGTCCAATTAAAGTAGAATTTTATTTTTTAATTCCTATTGATGCTTCAAGGCAAGAATTGTTTGGTAAATTATTATATATTTTTAAAATATTTGAACTTGATATTGGTGATTTAAGAGGTCATGGTACAATAGATATCAATCATTAATGGAATAAGTAGAATGTTGTAAAATTAGGATATATCTGTTGATAATGTTATTAGTCACTTGAAAGCACTTATTTTATTTTTTAAGATATATTGAAAAAACTGGATTTGAATTTGACAAGATTAGTACTAATGAAAGTACTTTTCAAATAGAAGTTGAACATACATTTCGTAAAAAAAATAATATTATTCATAGAAAGAAGCGTTTTAATGAAAATTTTAATGATGATATAACACATTCAGGTGAAGTAATTTTAGAGTTGATTATTTTTTAAATATATTGATTAGGCACCTTCTTCACGTAAGTTAGGCTTGAACAATTTCAGAAAATATGAAAATATCTTCAAATTTTTGTTTGATTCTAAAAAATCGAAGACGGCAGAAAATAATTCTTTGAAGTGGTAGTGTGATAAGTTTGAAGAATTTTTTTAAAGCTGCAAACTTGATAAATTATTTGTTGAAATAGAACAAAAAGCAATTGAAATACTAGTCTATATTAAAATGATGGACTATTATTTTTCAAATGTGTGGATTGCTTGTGGAATATTATTGACTATACTAATTAAAATCGTATATGCCTAGAATTTCTTAAAGTGAAGTTGATAATATACTACATTCGTTAACAATGTCATAAGAAATGTTGAATGAATTCATTATGGTATCTATTGAAAAAGAAGTTTTAAAACAGAGTAGTTGTGATAATATAATTCTCGTGGTGAAAAGAGAACACAACAAAGAGAAGTTAATAGATTTGTGTGTATTTTATTAAGAACCAAAACCCTGTATTTATAAAATAGAATCAAAGATACAATAATAATAATTTCTAAGACTGCAGGGGTACAATTGTCATTTACTTATAAACACTAATAAATTTGCATTTTACAACACTCACCCTTGAATGATACATTACAAAATATCTACCTCATTAAAACCTTATTTGATAAAAATCCAATGGGAAAAAATCAAAATAAATGAAAAAAGAGTATAGTTATTTTGAAGTAAAATAAATGCTACCTCATTATAACCTTACTAGGAAAATCCAGTAGGATAAAACATACACAAGGGAAAAAGAGTACAGCTACTTCCCCTGAAGTTGATTACTGAAAATTTTTGAAACGACACATTCCAATCTCATGGAAAAATTTCTTGAATTTAGATGTTGACATTGCTTTTGTGAATAAATCGGCTACATTGTCACTTGAGCAAATTTGTTAGATATCGATATCACCATTCTTTTGACGCTCATGTGTATGAAAGAATTTTGGAAAAATATACTTTGTCCAGTCATCTTTGATCTAGCCTCCTCTGAGTTGTGCAATACAAGCTGCACTATCATCATACAAAATTGTAGGACTATCTTTTGATGAAGGTAACTAGCATAATTCTTGGATATGATGGGTCATGTGATAAAACATAAAATGTCATGTTTTACATCCATTAACACTCGCATTTTTGTAATTAATTAACACCTAAATGTACTCAGTACCCTTATATTTTTGTTTAAGTTGTAAGTGGATGGAAAATATGGAATTGGAAGAAAGGAACGAAAAACATGCGAAAACGAAGGAATTCCTAAGTTTGGGGACTAGAGTGTAAACATCCAATAGTTGGTTCGGATCACAAAATGATGATTGAAGATCATATGACATCAATTGGATGCAATTGGAGGTCAAAGGAATGAAATAATGTTGAAATATTTTCACAAATCAAATTCCAGTCGAAGAAGTTATGCGCTGGATTTTTAGTCTCAATTTGAGAGCCATTTATCGAGTAGGAAACAATTGAATTGGAATTTTTATTTCAGAATTCCTCCTAGATCTTTAAGTTATCTTTCCAACGCACTTTGAATCACCTCAATCAGAGTTCGAAGGAGAAAGTTATGATCAAATTATCAAGAGCGTCCAGGGACGACGCGTGTAACACAGTGCGCGCACATGAGCAAACAATGGCGTGCGCACAGCACCTCTTTTCCTCCAACCCAAGAGCAAAGTCATCCAATGGTGTGAGCGCAATGAAATATATGACGCGCGAGCAAGGACCAAAATTTCTGTGACGGCCAGTTTCCTTATTCTGATGAAATTCTACATGGAAACAATATTTTTGACATCTTATATACACCTAAAGACGCCAGAATGAGGGGAACCTCCTTTTCTGACCTAAAAATCTTATATTCTATGTATTCTTGGAGGCAAAGCACACCCCCATTCACTTCTACTCTATTTTGCTCTTAGAATTGCTGATGTACAACTAATTTCTCTCTTGGTCGAAGGATATTGAAGCCTTGGAATCATTTTCAATTGTGAGATCCACCTAATTTTCATTGTTTAATTTATATTTTTAGTATTGAATATTCTTCTATACTTAATTTCATGATTGTTATGTTTCATTACTAAAAGGATCCATTAGTTCATCATGCGTTTCAATTTATAGCTAAGTTAAATATCAAATCCGTAATTGTTTGATTAATTTAACTTGTGAAGCAACTAGGATTAGTAATTTGCTGCTTTAGGAAATTATTAAATCATAGGAGGAATATTTATCTAGGTTAAATGCAATCGCTTGGCTTGTGTTATCTAGTTCATTGATTTCTCAAATTCGGAAAGTCATTATTAAATTAAATTCTTGTGCTTGTCTAGGATTGTTTGGTAATGAGGATTAATAGATTGCTTGTTTCTAATTATTTAAAAGTAAGGAGAAATAGGAAATTATTTCGAATGGAAAATTATTTTCCAACGATGAATACTAAAAGTATGAATTAATAATTGTTTGTGGATCAATGACCAATTGTAAATCTCCAACGGTGGATGTTGACTTAGACCATGGTTCATTCTATTGATTTCACTTAATTCGATAATTTGCGTTTTCATTAATTGTTATTTTTAATAATTGTTTGTTTCAAAACCAAAAACCCCTTTTAGTTAATTTAGCATAAAAGATAGACTAAACACTCTTCGTGTGATCGACCCTTACTTCCACTACTATATTTATTTTGAGGAGAATAGGTTTTAATTTGGAGTGCCTGGGACAACACGCACCAAATTTTGGCAACGTTGTCGGGGAGTGATTTTGTTATCTTTGTGCTTTTGATTTGTTTCATTAGTTTTTGTTTTCAAAAAAACCAAAAAAAAAAAAGAAAAATTTGTTTATTTTGTTATTTTGTTTAGTTTAGTTTTTTCTTTCTTTTTGCTTCCTTGATTGTTTATGTCCATAACTCGATCCTCTAACCAAGGTGATTTGCAGTACGATTTAGAAACAGAAAGAACTTTGCACAAGTTGAGGATTGGCATGGCTAGGAATCAAACTTTGAAAGAGCTTTCAGCTCCGGATTTGCATCAACAACCCTTATGCATAACTTTCCCTAATTTAGATGCTAATACTACTTTTGAATTAAAATCACGGCTAATACATCTATTGCCCACTTTTCATGGTCTTGTAGGTGAAGATCCCAATAAACATTTGAAGGAATTCCACGTGGTTTGCACAAGCATGAAACCTATGGGGGGTAATTGAAGAGCAAATTAAACTGAGAGTCTTTCCGTTCTCTCTGAAGGATTCAGCTAAGGACTGGCTCTACTATCTACCATCTGGAAGTATTACAACATGGAATGAAATGAAGAGGCTATTTCTAGAAAAATACTTTCCAGCCTCAAGGGCAACAAATACTAGAAAAGAAATTTGTGGAGTGAGGCAGGGTAACAGGGAATCTCTACACGAATATTGGGAGCGTTTCAAGAAACTGTGTGCAAGTTGCCCCCATCATCAAATCAGTGAATAGCTTCTTTTCCAATATTTCTATGAAGGTCTTCAACCCATGAAATGAAGTATGGTCGATGCTGCAAGTGGAGGAACTTTGGTGGATAAAACTCCCGAGGGTGCAAGGAATTTGATTGCAAACATGGCAGCCAACTCTCAACAATTTGGCACTAGACTTGACACTCCTTCTAGACATGTTAATGAGGTAAATGTTTCATCTCTTGAACAACAACTTGCGAGTCTAACTTCTCTTGTTTATCAAATGGCTGCAGGTAATATGCAAATGACGAAGGCATGTGGAATTTGCTCGGTGGCAGGACATCCAACTGACATGTGCCCAACTCTCCAAGAAGATAAACAAGTTAATGGAGTAAGCAGCTTTCCTGAACAACCACAAAGGAATTATAATCCTTACTCGAAAACCTACAATCCAGGATGGAGGGATCATCCTAATTTTAGCTATGGGAATCAACAAGTGAATCAACCAAACATCTAGCAATATAGATAGCCCTATCTTCCTAGACAACAACAGGACCAAACTTCAAGTTCTGGTATGTCTCTAGAGGATATTGTTAAGTCTTTGGCCACTAACACTTTACAATTTCAACAGGAAACAAAACAATTCCAACAGGAGGTAAGGGCAAGAATTGAAAATTTGGAGAATCAAATGGGTCAAATGGCAACCGCAATCAATAGGCTAGAAGCACAAGGTTTGGGAGAATTATCCTCTCAACCAATGGTCAATCCAAGGAAAATGTAAGTGCAATCTTGTTGAGGCGTGGTAAGGAAGTTGAAATTCCAAGGGCAGCCCCTACATCATTGGAGCAGGAAAAGGATAAAGATGTCCTTAAAGAAAAGAGTGTTCCCAACGATGATGGCGTACCTAAGCGTAAGTTTCCACCCCTTTCTAAGTATAAACCAGTGCCCCCTTTCTCTCAGGCTTTAGTAGAACCTAGGAAAGATGAACATAATCATGAACTTTATAAAAATTTCCATAAATGTGAGGTAAACATTCCATTGTTGGATGTTATTAAACAAGTACCTCGTTATTCTATGTTCTTGAAGGAATTGTGTACCCTTAAAAGAAAACAAAAACTTAAAAGGTGTGAAAAAATAAACGTAGGGAAAAATATTTCTGCAGTCATTCAAAGAAATCTCCCTACAAAGTGCAAAGATCCAGGCATGTTTAGCGTCCCTTGCACGATAGGTAACACTAGGTTTGAAAAAGCCATGTTAGACTCAAGAGCTTCTATTAATATCATGCCATACTCTGTGTACGCTTCTTTAAAACTTGGACCTTTGAATGAAACTGGTGTCATAATTCAACTAGCCGATAAATCTAATACCTATCCTAAGGGTGTAGTTGAGGATGTTCTCATGAAGATTAATGATTTGATTTTTCTTCCTGACTTCTATGTGCTTGATATGGAATATAGTCATCAAACTATTCCCATTTTGCTAGGAAGACCATTCTTAAGGACGTCCAAAGCTAAAATAGATTTTTATAGTGGCATACTTACTATTGAATTTGATGAAAAAATCAATGAATTTAACATTTATGATGCCATGAAACATCCTGATGAAACTAACCCTATTTATTCTATTCAAGTGATTGATAATTTAGAACAGGAAGTTTTAGAACTTGATGAAAACAATGCAGTGAAAGTTGCCATTGATAAGCATATTGAGGATGTGAATTAGGAGTTACCCTCGAATACTGCCTTGCAGGAAACCATTGCAGCATTGAATGCTTCTCCAAAGTCACCAAAATTAGGTAAAAGTTCGCATATTGTTTTGTCAATTGCTAACGAGAGGCCTTTCTATGCAGGTTTCCAAATGGATGAAGTGAGAACATGGGACCTTGGGAACCCAATTGATGTCGGTTGAGGAAGGAAGCAATAAGTCTAGCCAAAGAAAATAAACAAAGGCACTGCTTGGGAGGCAACCCAAGAGGAGTTCGTTCCGTTATCTTTTTATTTTTATCTTTTTATATTCATATGTTTGGTTAATGTTATCATTTTCTTTGCATTTTACCTTACATTGGGACAACGTATGTTTTAAGTGCGGGGAAAGGAATTTAGGTTGAGTCCAAAATTTTCAGTTCGTATTTTTTTTTGTGTTTATTTTTAACTTTTTGATAAGACTTCAACATAAGAGGGAGAAAACAAAGTAGTTTTGAACAATTTTGGTTGTTTATGCTAGTTGCTAGGTTCAATTTAGCTTCTGAAGTATTCATAACATGATTGAATAAATAATCTCCCAACTTAGAGTTAATTAGTGTGGTTAATTTCTTTGAGGATGGTAGTAACTAGATTTCGTAGACAAAAAGCCAATGAGATTTTGAGCTTTTAGACTGACACATCCATAGCAGTAGTGATACTCTTCCATGGACTTGTTTCTCTAGAACTTGCCCTGATTCTCTTCAAGGTCACATTGATACATGCATGCATGAACATGATTAAGGCCATCTTTGTTGCATAAGTTAGCTACCTTAGCCAAATAGCCTACCCTATAATTAATTTTTCCCTTGTTGAACCCCTTTGAGCCTTATAGCCTTTTCTTTTTTTAACCCATATTACAAGCTTTAAATCTAGAAAAGCAATATCTTTACCCAAGCTGTAAAGCTAGTAGAGTGTTCTTCTTCATTTTGATACATATGGGAGTGCAAAAGAAATAAGTGTGGGGGTGTATGAATCTATGGTAGGACTGCGATTGGTGGGATGGAACATATTATTCAATTTCAATTCATAAGTTCCATTATTAGTGCAATATTTTGAGTTGAGAAAAAAAAAAGAGGGGATAAAAAAAAAGTGATGGAGGAAATGATCTTCAATGTTCCAAAATTATTCTATGTTCGTAATTCCTCCTAGTATCACAAGAAAATGAGTGGGTTGTGTGAAATAGATGCAAGGAAGTTGTGAATGGAGAGATTGATCTTACACGTTTTGTATATACATTTGAGCTGAGTTAATTCATCTTTACTCTACTAGTTTTAATGGCGTTTGAGTCACTTATCCAAATACTTCCCACCTGGACCCTAAGCCACGTTACAACCCATAGAAAAGACCTTATGATTTGTGTAATGCATGTGATCTAATAGGTGGAGAATGAGAAGATATGCAAGCATATGGTAGAACATGTTTATTGGAATAAACTTGAGCGAAACACTTACCCATTAAACACATGAGAGTTGAATGCTTATATTATGTGAGTGTTTACAAGTTTGGTTTATTCCATCTTCATATGAGAATACTTGCTAATTGATTATAAGTTGTGTGAGAAGGTTTATCATGATGTGTTATATGTTTTAAAGAGTTTGTTTGTTCTATGTTGATTGCATTCCAATTTTGATATTTTTGGGAAAAATAAAATTTGAGTTTACTCGAGGATGAGTAAAAGCTAAGTGTGGGGGGAATTCATAAGACATAAAATGTCGTATTTTACATCCATTAATACTTGCACTTTTGTGATTAATTAACGCCTAAATGTACTCAGTATCCTTATATTTTGGTTTAGGTTGTAACTGGATGGAAAATATGGATTTGGAAGAAATGAACGAATAACGTGCGAAAACGAAGGAATTCCTAAGTTTGGGGACTACAGTGTAAATATCCAATAGTTGATTTAGATCACAAAACGATGATTGAAGATCATATGACATCATTTGGATGCAATTGGAGGTCAAAGGAATGAAATAATGTTGAAACATTTTCACAAATCAAATTCCAGTCGAAGAAGTTATGCGCCGAATTTTTAGCTTCAATTTGAGAGCCATTTTTCAAGTAGCAAACAATGGAATTGGAAAATTTTTATTTCAGAAAGAATTCTAGCTCTTTAAGTCATCTTTCCAACACATTTTTGAATCATCTCAATCAGAATTTGGAAGAGAAAGTTATGATCAAATTATCGAGAGTTGTCCAGGGATGACGCGTGTAACCCGGAACGGGCGCACAGGCAAACAATGGCGCACGCGCAGCACCTCTTTTCTCCAACCCGAGAGAAAATTCATCCAATGGTGCGCGGGTAACCTCCTTTCTGACCTAAAAATCTTATATTCTACGAATTCTTGGAGGCAAAGTACGCCCCCATTCCCTTCTACTCTATTTTGCTCTTAGAATTGATGATGTACAACTAATTTCTCTCTTGGTCGAAGGATATTGAAGCCTTGGAATCATTTTCAATTGTGAGATCCACCTAATTTTCATTGTTTAATTTATGTTTTTAGTATTGAATATTCTTCTATGCTTAATTTCATGATTGTTATGTTTAATTACTAAAAGGATCCATTAGTTCATCATGTGTTTCAATTTATAGCTAAGTTAAATATCAAATTCGTAATTTTTTGATTAATTTAACTTATGAAGCAACTAGGATTAGTAATTTGCTACTTTAGCAAGTTATTAAATCTTTGGAAGAATATTTATCTAGATTAAATGCAAACGCTTGGCTTGTGTTATCTAGTTTATTGATTTCTCTGATTCGGAAACCCAATATTAAATTAAATTCTCACGCTTGTCTAAGATTGTTTGGTAATGAGGATTAATTAGATCACTTGTTTCTAATTAATTAAAAGTAAGGAGAAATAGGAAATTCTTTCGAATGGGAAATTATTTTCCAACGATGAATACTAAAAGTATGAATTAATAATTGTTTGTGGATCAATGACCAATTGTAAATCTCCAACAGTGGATGTTGACTTAGTCCATGGTTTGTTCTATTGATTTCATTTAATTCGATAATTCGCATTTACATTAATTTCTATTTTTAATAATTGTTTGTTTCAAAACCAAAAACCCCATTTTGGTTAACTTAGCATAAAAGATAGACTAAACACTCTTTATGGGATCGACCCTTACTTCCACTACTACATCTATTTTGAGGAGTATAGATTTTAATTTGGGGATCCATTTTAGTACGTTGTAGGGGTGAAATAGGGACTTGAATAGCACAACTAAAAATTTGTAGGTGAGAAATAACAGGTTCATGACCAAATGCAAGTTTCAAAGGCGAATATTGATAATATGCAGTTGGTCTAATATGAACTAATGATGCAACATGTAATATGACGTAACCCCAAAATGAAGTTGGGAGTTTTGTTTTCATGAATAATAGTCTAGCAAAACGACTCCGTCAAACCATTTTGTGTATAGACATGTGCTCTATCACAGCACTCACTTACTCTGTTAAGAAAGTAGTCTTCTTGACATAGTGCTTCCTTTTTACAGTACACAAGTCCTTAAGGACTTTAGAATATGTGGGGACCTGGGAAGAGAGGCAGATTGATTTTTACTTGTTTAAGATGCTCTAGAATTTCACTATGTTGCCTGACAAATTTTGAGGTAGACTTGAGGCCTACAGTGAAAAGCACTCGTGCGCTAGATTTTCCACTACCTTCTCACATGGGATATTCTCTTTTGAACTACTAGGCACCTTTTCATTTTCCTTAGGTTTGAAAATTGGTTCTACGACCTTACCAGACCGAGTGGTTATGGCATTTACTTCTCTAAGATTGCTTTCTCCTGATCCTAAAGTTTTTGCCATGTGTTGGCCCCTAGGGTCCGGTTAAGCTTGTGCTAGAAATTTTTCCCACTCTCCTACAGCTAAGACATTAGTTAGTTTGGACATATGAGATTTTATTTCCTTGTTTTTTTCAACAATTTGGGTGATCATAGTCTTAAAATTTTGGTTAGTCTTACTATGTGCCTCTATAAATGCATGTAGCGCGTCTTCTAAAGAGTTCCTAGAGGACGTGAGCTGATATAGAGGTAGAGTGTGAAATTTACTTGGCTAGCCTTTCGATTTCCAGCTGAGATTGGGGTGATTCCGCCACCCCGAATTGTATGTTTCAGAAAAAGGGAGAATAAGGCTTTTGGTATTTGCCTAAGGCAATACAGTGTTCCTCATAAACTTTTCTCATCTCAACGTAGGTAGCACACTCTTGAGCTAGATGATCAGTTCCATCACAAACAAAACATGATCCTAAAGATTCAACATGGGAAACAGTGCTTTGAGTCCTTAGCACGCAAGGTTTCAAGTTCACTAGGGAGGGCTTCCTCTTTAGCTCTAAAGCTATCCTCCTCCATAAGATGATATATACATGTACTAGTCGGGTTTCCTGTAGGTCGTGAGCTATTAGTACTTTCAGTGGCGCTAGGTCCAGTCCAAGTATGAGCCTTCTCGGCTAACTCATCTAAATACTCTATGGCCTCATTCGGATCTTTTCGCAAGAAATCACCATTACACATCATCTCAACGAATTAACGCTCCCTAGGTGTTAATCCCTTATAAAAGTAACTCACTATACGCTAACTCTCATATTCATAGTGGGGGCAAAGGGCTTGCAGTTCTTTGAATATTTCCCAGGCCTGATATAAAGGCTCACTGTCTTTTTAAGTGAAAGATTAAATTTGCTTCTTAAGGGCACTAGTCTTATGGTGGGGAAAGTATTTATTAAAGAATGTTTGTGTCATTTTAGCCCAAGTACCAATCGAACATGGTCTCAGAGAAAACAGCCATCTCTTTGCTCTCTCTTTAAGTAAAAGCGGGAAAATTTTTAGCCTGACTGCAAGTTGTACCATATTGATTGTAGAAGGCAGCAACCACTTCCTCAAATTCCCTAATATGCACGTATGAGATTTTACTGTCAAGTCCATGAAAAGTGGGAAGAAGTTGAATCATTCCCAGTTTAAGTTCTATACGTG